ATGAGGGCCCGACTGGGCCATGACAGCCCCCACTGTGTAAGATCCTGGTTAAGGGGGACTCAGAGAGGAAGTGATGGGGGAGGGAGGAGAAAAACTAGGAAAAGGTGCATCTGGAAAGTGCTTCCAGAAAGAGGGAGGGGCCATCCGTGTTGACTGCTGCTGAGATGGAGATGAGAACACAGAAGTGTCCCTTGGCCTGGCTTATCAAGGAGGCCAAATTAAAGAGTGAGGGGGCTCCCGGAGCTGGAGAGACAGACCAACAGGGTGCACAGGGTTTGTTGGGATGGGTTATGTTTTTTTCCTTGAGCGTGAAAAATACACAGCTTTCATTATATTATTATTTATGCTTTTTTGGTATGTGTGAAGCACACCATAATAATGTTATTAAATTTTCTTTAAGGTGAGGGTGGGGATGGAAGTGAGAAGATGGAGGCAACTTGTTCAAGAAGTTGTATTATTGAAGGGAAGCATAGAAATTGGAGATGCCCCTGGAGGGGGCTGTGGAGTCAAGGGTAATTTTTCTTTAATTTTTAGATGAGCGCTATTGGAGCATGTTTGCATTGTTACAGGGGACAGTGGGTGGGAGGCTGAGGTTGCAGGAGAAGAAGGAAGGGGCCACGGGACAGAAGCTCGAGAAGCTTGAATGCGCTTGTGCCCCTGTTCCTAGGTCCCCTTTGTGACCTCTACACCCGAGGTTCTCATACTTATTTGAGCATGAGATTCACCTGGAGGGCTGGGCACCACCCCTGAGTTTCTGATTCAGTAGGTCTAGGGTGAGACCTAGAAATGTGCATTTTTAACAAGCTCCTGGTGATGCTGCTTCCAGGATCACACTTTGAGAACCACTGCTTTAATAGATAGCAGCACCTTTCACGTGCACCCCCTTCAGGATTTGACCTTGCACTACAATGGGAAGTGCCCCTTCAAAAGCAGTCTGGGGTGGAAGGGGTGGAAGCAGACAGTTGAGATGGAAGAGAGGAGAACAGACACAGAAGGAAGCAGACAGAGCCTGGCCCCTCAGCCAAGGTCACCACCTCTCCCTGGGGAGCACCAGTCTGCCCTATGGGACCTCCTGGAAGACTGAGCAAGAGGGCAAGAGAAGAAGCCAGGACCAGGGGGTAGAGGTGGTGGGGACAGGCCAGCATGTGCACAGAATGGAGAGGGAGTGGAGGAGGGGCACTGAGCCCTGCGAACACACTGTTCACCTTTGCAATTTGATCCTGGTCCCACTGCCAGACCAGCTTCTCCTGCTCTTGGGGGAAAAAGCAGCCCTGTCAAATAAATAAACATTAGCTTATAGAGTCCCAGAATATTAGAGCTGGGAGAACCCTTGGAGACTGACCAGATCAGCCTTGTTTTGCAGATGGAGAGGGCCAGAAAAAGTCCATCTTGGCAGATGGACCTACACACTCTTATACTGAGAAAGATATGTTGCCACACTCAGCGGCTGGCTCTCCTCTAGGAAGCTGGGTAATGGGCATGAATTTGGGGGTTATGCTCTGACCATTTGCTGTTCTCCTTTTTCCATTAGTTCATTGAAATGCATTTCTATTGAGCGCCCACTGCGAATTAAGCATTGTGCTAGACGTGGACATAAAGTGGTGAGCAAGACCGAGTCACTGGTTTCATGGATTTGACATTGCAAGGAGAAAACAGACAATCGACAGATAAATGTGCAATATAAAGTCGGGGATTGATAAGTGGTAGGAAAAGACCTGAAGTGACATGAGAGAGTAAGCCATGCCAATGGGGACGGTGAGGAGGAAAGTTTCCAGGCACAAGGAATAGCAAGCATGTGCAAAGGCCCTGAGGTAGGCACATGCTTGCTGTGTTGGAGGGATGTCATAGAGGCCAGTGCCTTTGTAGCAGAGTGAGGGAGAGAGGACAAGAAGAGGAAATCAGGAGAGGAAGGATATGATTTGACTTAGGTTTAACAGGATCCCTCTGGCTGCTGAGTGGAGGATGCACGGGGCAGAGAGGAACAGGAGTGGAGGCAGAGAGGCCAGGGAGAAAGCTACTGGAATAGTCCATGCGAGTAGTGATGGTGGCTTGGCCTAGAAGGGAGGCCTCTCCTGGTTGTTCTATGTCCTTCATGGAGACACATGGAAAGGACAGGAGCTTTCCTCCAGCCCCCACCCATAACCTTAGCTCACGGTCTCCCCACAGCTAGAAAGGTACATCCAGATGAACTTGAGGTCGGAGCTGGCACAGGTACAGCAGCACATGGTCCAGAACCAGACGGCCACCATGCTGGAGCTAGGCACCAGCCTCTTGAACCAGACCACCACCCAGACCCGCAAGCTGACCGATTTGGAGGCTCAGGTACCAGAGGGTGATCACACGAAATGGAGGGACTGTGGCCGGCTGGGCTGTCTCATAGCCCAGGTCATCTTCCCTTGACCTCTGTCCCTGGGTGAGGTCATGGCTTCCTCTGAGCCTGTATCACCCTGGGGCCCCTCCCTGATGACCCTGTCACGGGGCCAGAGTGGGAGCTGTGAAGGGCAAGGGAAGTAGAAATGTACCCATCTGGACGACAGAGCTGATGAAACTTGCTGATGGATTGGATGTGGGAGTCAAGGGTGACTTTTCCTGGAGTCTGAGCAGCAGGAGAAATGGAACTGCCATGCGCAGTGATGGGAAGAGCAAATTTAGGAAGCCAATCATAAGCTCAGTTTAGGGCCTGTGAGTGAGTGAGTGAGTGAATGAATGAATGAATGAATGAGAAACCACAGGAACTAACTACTGGGAGGGTAGAAACAGGTCAGCATGTTTCTGAAATGGCAGAGCTTGTGGGCAGGTGGGCGGCTACTGAGCAGGGCTCTTTCAGGGTTTATGTAGCCCCCACCCCTTCCTACTTTCTGAGGCAGGTCCTGAACCAGACGTCGCGAATGGAGATCCAGCTGCTGGAGACCTCTCTGTCTACCAACAAGCTGGAGAAGCAGCTGCTACTGCAGGGCCATGAGCTCCACCAGCTGCAGGGCCACAACAGGTAGGCCAGTACTGGTACCCTGACACTGGGCTGAGACAGGGGCTAGGGCCAGGCTGGGACCCGAGTGAGCATAAGAGCCCGGGCCAGGCTGGGGCCGAAGTGGGAAGCTGGATATGTGCTAGTGCCTGGGACAGGGGCTGATTCAGAGCTAGAGGCCTGAATTAGGACTAGAGTGAGGAAACATTTGTGGACTAGGGCTGGAGCTAAAGCTGGGACTAGGCCAGGGCAGGGGTAAAAACTAAAATCAGGGTTGGAGACCGCACTGCAGCTTGGACTGAAAGTGAACACGGGCTGGGCTGAGACTGGGGCTGAGGGCCAGGCAGGCACAGGGCCTGGCTACCCAGCACTACCTAGGGAGGAGGCATTTTCCTAGGGATCAGGCACCCCATTTTTTCCTTCCCCCTTCCTTCCTTTCTTCTTTTTTTCCTTCCTTCTTCTTTTTTTTAATTTTTTCTGCATGTATTTATTTTATAGATTTTAACAGATTTATTGAGCTACAAGTTACATACCATACAATTCGCCCTGTAAATTTTAATTTGATTTACTTATTTGTAAATAAATAAATCTGATCTCGTCCACCGATTTTCCTTCCCGGATGTAATTACAGTTACCAGTTTCTTGTCTGCACTGGTGGAGAGTCTTTGCATGTATAAGCAAATACACATGAGAAGAACACCCTTTATATTACAAAGGAAGAAAGGGTCATTGGTATAGCTAAGGCAGGAAAACAGACATCGAAGGCTGATTTCATCTCAGGTTCAAGCTCAGTGGAGAAAACACTCCCAAAGCCGGAAGAGGCAAAACCCCCACATGGAGGCAGCCACAGGCTTGTGTACAGGGTGAGATGTTCTTGTTGCCCATGTGCTGGGTCAAGTAAGGCTACAGGGATTACCAGCCCCTTCTGATCTGGGTGCAGTTCATGATAGTTTGTCACCTTCTCATTCTTATCCCCAGGGTAGGGGAGAGCAAGGACTGGGACACTTTCCATCATGCTGAATTGGCACCAAGTGCCTAGAAATCAGTGAAGATGTAGGATGTCATCAGTAAGTTCTCGGCCCATGGAGACAGCTAACATTCTAGGATCCGCATGTGCCAAAATGTTCTCTCTTCTGCAGCATAATTTGGGGTTCAGGGGACATTCTTCCTACTCTGGCTGGACTTACTTTGTTAGTCTGGAGAATAAATCAGCATGACCTCCACATATAGGAAAATCTCTCCCTCCTATGCCTTTCTATCAGCCACCGCCCACCCACAGCAGAGGTAGCTGCTATTCCTAGTTTCTTGTGAGTCTTTCAGTCAAATTAACCAACAATATTTTTGGAAAAAAAAAAAAAGGAATTTGTGTTTGAGCTCTTACCCTGTGTCAAGGCACTATTATGGACACAGGGGTAACAGAAGTGAATAAATAGACAAAAGTCCCTGTTCTGGTGGAGATGACATTCTATAAGCTGATATTCCAGATTTCTTATAAACATGTATGAATAGCCCCTTTTTGCCCTTTTTAACCCCAAATTTAGTATTCAACTGCACCTTGATTTTTTTTCAGTCATCCTAGAAATGGTTCTACAAGTGCATGACACCCTTGCTCATTCTCTTCCCCAACTGCATAATGTTTGTTGTATGGCTGTCCATACATTTATTTCTGCATCCTCAATTAGTGGGTATTGAGGTTGTTCCCAATTTTTTACTGTTGCAACCAATAATATGATGAATGGTGTTCCATGTCTCAGGGCACACACATGTGAGCAAATCTGTGGGATAAAATGCCAAACGTGAAAGAGCTGAGTCAAACGCTTCTTTCTTTTTGAAATCTCTTCTTTTTCTTTAACTCATTACAAAAATGCCTCATGCTTATTATTTCATCAGACAACAGAGACCTGTATAAAATGAAAGGGAAAGTCAGTCACCTTTACCTGCCCCCTCTTCCATCCACTGAGACCTGCTCTGTAGAAGTAACAGCACGCAATGGATTTTCTTCCACTTTTTCTACAAGCGCAGGCACCGCTGCGTCCTTCCATGCGTCTTGTCATGCCTTTTCCGCAAGTTCACCGGCAGCTCTCTACTTTTACATTAATACCTTTTCTCTTTCACTCTTTTTCATCGTCCCACATGTGGGGTTAGACTAGAAGCATTGACGTGGCAGGCTCCTTCCACTCCACGTCCTGGACAGCTTTCCAATTCTGTGCAAATGGCTCTGCCTCTTTCCTATTCCTGGCTCCAGAACATTTCCAGGGACACCCAACAGAAGATTCAGCTGTTGGGCTTTTAGACTGTTTCGTTTTTACCCTATTCCAACCCATCCCCTAGTTGGCATTCTTGCCTGTGCTCCCTGGAGGCTACCTCCTGAGAGTGGACTGCTGGGTCAAAGGAGGAGCCCAGTTGGGATTTGATCGTGGCTACCTGGTTGCTGACATGGTCCTCCCACCTCCAGTTCTTGCCTCTACTGGACCAGAATCCACCAGATTCCAGGGCCGAGTTTCTCTTTTCTCCACTTCTTGTTCTGTGTCACGGACCTCTGGACTGTGCAGCCCTGAGCTGGACGCTCTGCCCCTCTGAGCCTCAGCGCCGGTCTGTGTCGTGGAGTCACCCGGGTGAAAGCGTAAAAGTGTGGCTGCTTTGTGGGACGGTGGGCTCACCTCTGTGCGCCCCGCCCCTCAGCGCGCTGGAGACGAGGGTGCAAGCCTTGGAGACTCAGCAGCAGGCAGAGCGAGCCAGCCTCCGCGGCGAGAAGGAGCGGCTGAGGCGCCTCCTGGGCCGCCAGAGCGGCGCCCTCGCCGGCCTCGAGCGAAGCCTGCGCGCAGCCAGAAGCAACTCCAGTCTCCTGCAGCGCCAGCAGCGCCAGCTGCTGGAGTCTGTGCAGCGTCTGGTGCGAATCGTGGCCCAGGGCCTAGGTGAGCTATCGGAGGGCACGGGGTGGGGCCAGGGGAAGACCCTTCCTGTTCTCTCTGGCGCCTGGAGGCCTCCCACCACCTGTGAAATAGAAATAACAACAAACAATAATAATAATGGTAACAACAATAATCCCAACAGGAGACAGTCCAGACTCTTCTTCCTGATTCCATGAGTGACCTTGGACATGTCCTTATCCGTCCGTTGGCCTGTTTCTCCATCTGTTTAATGGAGGTGATGACAATAACGAGACCACTACTGGCTCAGACTGACAATTTTGGGATCAGGGATCCACCCTCATCTCCATTTGTTTGGGCTGGCCCCAAAGCTCTGGTGGGCCTCAGCTTCCCCATCTATAGAAAGGGGAGGTTGGACACAATGTTTCCCCAAAGAGTTCTTTCACCCTAATGCCCTTGCCCTTAAGCCCAATAGGCCAAACAGAAATGAGGACGCATTCCTGGCCCTGGCTTCCGAGAAGGGAGAACAATGCCTGGGCCGTTCGCCAGCCCCCACTGGCTCCTTCTAATGGGGCTCACTGGGGGTGGCCAAAGCACTCCTGGTTCCAGCTTCAATTACTCAGTCAACAAGTATTTACTGAATACTCACTGTGTGTCAGGCCCAGTGCTGGGAATACAGCAATGAACAGCATCACTGCAGACCATGTCTTGTAAAAATGCCCAACTCCCTGTCTGTCACAG